GTTTTGGTGCCCTCTCGGGCCGTCTTGGGGCCCTTGGGCCGCGTCATTCGGACAAATACGAGGAGACGTGCCGTGGAAGGCGCCCGCGAGCCGCGTCATTCGAAAAAAGACCATGGAAACGGCCCCCAACTGGCCATGAACTGGAGAATTCCGCGCCTCCCCCTTCTGCACTCACCCTAGGGAGGCGCAAGCGCCCAACTCAACGCACGTTGCTCGTTCCTCGCTCTTTTCCGTCACCTGGGCTGGCACGGAAACGGAAAGAGCGCCGCAGGGATTGGCCCGAGAGGGCTCATGGGCGGCACATGATGATGCGGGACAGGGCGCTCTCTGTCCCGAGGCGCGGGCTCCTCGTCCTCCTCCTCGTCCTTTTCCTATCCCTCCTCTTTTTTATCTTTCTCTTGCTCCTCGTCGCGATCACCATTCCCATCGTAAGCATCCTCCTCAGCAACAAACACACCACCAACAACATGAGCAGCATCAGCGTCATCATCATCATCATCATCATCATCATCATCATCAGCAGCAGCAGCAGCAGCATCATCATCGTCGTCGTCATCATCCTCATCATCATCATCATCATCATCATCATCGTCATCATCATCATCATCATCATCATCATCAGCATCATCATCATCATCATCATCAGCATCATCATCATCATCACCACCACCACCACCACCACCACCACCACCACCATCGCGCGCGCCGTCTCCTCCCTCCCCGCCCCCCTGGCGCGCCGCGACCGCAGGCCTGGTGGCCGCCCCAGTAGTGCACACCAATTCGACGAGCCGCGGGGAAGGGGTGGCGCCCCTCTCTGCCAGGCCAGGGGCCTTTGGCGCCCCCGGCCAAACACAGCCCCCGTTCCAGCGTTGGCCCCCCCTCCCTCCCCCCTCCCTCCCTCCCTCCCTCCCTCCCCCCCCCTCCCCCCCTCCCCCCCTCCCTCCCCCCCCCCCCCCTCCCCCCCTCCCCCCATCGCCCTCGCGTGGCCCCCCTCGCCGCCCCAGCCGCTTCCCAGCCTCCGAATGCTCTCCACCAGCTGCTCCACCTCTGTCGAAGTTGAGCTGATGGGGAAGTCCCGAGCGAAGTCGCCGTCTCGACTTCGGACCGACGGGCTTCGATTTCGGTCGAGCCCTGTGTCCAAGAAGTATTTCGCGCAGACGCCTTTTTGATTTCAAACCGACAAGGTTTTGACATCATGTCGAAGTCCGCCTCGCCGAGGGCGCTGCGGGGGCGCCCAGGGCCTCCCGAACAGGCCGCCGGAGGACCGATAGTCGGCCCGAGCATCGGAGGTTGATAGACCTCCTGTACGGTAGGTTTGCGTCGTGTCGACCAGCGGCGACCCCAGCGCGGGCGTTCAAGGTTGAACGCCGCCGGCGACCCGGAATCGATCGATGTTGAACGATCGGACGTTGCGGCAGCGGCCGATCGTTCAAGGTTGAACGATCCCTGCGGTGTCAAAAACCAACGCTGGGGTCGGCACGACACGAACCTGCCGTACCCTGACACGTGGATGAGCGAATTGGCCGTTTGCGGTTCGCGAGAGGGCGTCGCGGCCGTCGCTTTTGCGGGTCCAGGTCCGTCGGTTTCGGTCCTATAGCTGTTCTCACCCAAGGGAGGTTTACCAAAGGGAGGTTTGTCCACCGCCGAGAGAGCCCGTTTTCCGCGATCCTGTCGTGGCAAAACCACGACGGGCCGTTTTCGGCCGTTTCCGGTTTCCGGGGGCCCTCACACCAGGCCCCGGGACCGCACGGCGCCGGATGAAAGACCGACCCCCCGCGAGAAGTCCGGGCCTCTGAGAGCCCGCGCCGTGAAGAGCCAAGACGCCGGAGTTTTGGGGGTCGCTCCTCGAGGGCCCGTTTTCGGCAGCCCGTCCAGTTCGCCCTCCTGCCTTCTCGGCCACGCGCGGAGGGGGGTATATGGGGGGAGGGGGGAGGGCGTCTTAGAAGCACGCCCGTGGTTCTCAGAAGGCGCGGGCCTCCTCCCCAGACCCCCGACGTCATGATTTTTTCATGACGCGACCCCCAAAGGTGCAGACCCATTCCCTGGGACCGGTTTTTCATCCTGGGTCGTTGTTTGACGGTCCCGATGCCCGGTAAGGGCCTTCAGAGGCCGAAAATAGCGAAAACCTCCCGTCGTGATTTTTTCATGACTCGAGGAGGTCTGGGTCTGCAGACGTGAGGCCAGCGGCTTCTAAGAAGCAGCCTCCCTCCGAGAAGCCCCCCCCCCCCCCCTCCCACCCCCCCTCTGTGCGCACCGCCGGCTCTCGCCGCCCTCCCGGGCCCTGCGTCGTCGGAGAGCTCTCCCCCCGGCGGGCTCGGAGCGCTCTGGGCGCCTGGGACCTCGGGCCTCCTCCTCCTCCTCCTCCTCTCCTCCTCCTCCTCCTCCTCCTCCTCCCTCCCCCTTTTTCCTCCTCCCTTTCCTCCCTTTTCCTCCCTTCTCCTCCTCCTCCTCCTCCTCCTCCTCCTCCTCCTCCTCCTCCTCCTCCTCCTCCTCCTCCTCCTCCTCCTCCTCCCCCTTTTCCTCCTCCTCCTCCTCCTCCCCGCGAAGAGAGGGGCGCCGGAGGCCCCGGCTCGGAAGCTCTCTGCGGGGCGCGTGCGGGTGCGGCGCGGGGGCCCGGGGGCGGCACGAGATCGGGAGAAGGAGTCGCTGCTAGGGAGGGGGTCGAGGAGCCCAGCCCTCCTGGAGTCCAAAGGATTGATTGCAAAGGGTTTTTTGGTTGCAATCCTTCGTCCAAAGGGTTTTTGTTTTGCAATATTTTTTTTGCAATCCTTTGCAATCCTTCGAGAAAATCACGACGGGAGGTTTTTCGCTGCTTTCGGCCTCTGAGGGCCCTTACCAGACCTCGGGGCCGTCAAAAAACGACTCGGGATGAAAAACCGGTCCCGGGGAAGGGGTCTGGACCTCTGGGGGTCGCGTCGTGAAAAAATCATGACGTCGGGGGTCTGGGAGTGCAGTGGCCGCCATCCACCTCGCCGTTCCCTGCCCTCGCCTCCCCCATCCCCGCTCCCTCTACACTCGTTCAGTGCGAATACGATGCGCCTCCCCTCCCCGGATCCAGGGGCAGCGTTTCCGCCGCATGTTTTTTTTCACGCACCAGGTGTCAAAAGGTGGTCTGTCATGTGGTTCCCTGAAAGCGGGACGCGTTGGATTGTTCAAATACTGTTCTCGTTGCAGCGGTGGCCTCATTTCAGAATCGGCGCTTTGGTCACGTTGTTCAGAATGGCGCTCCCGCCCCAGCGCGGGCCTGACTTCTGGATCGGAGTCCGTCCTCGTCGTCGTCGCCCCCCCTTCTCCCTCCTCCGCCTTCCCCTGGTCCTCCAGCCCCTCCCACTTCTCATACTCCTGATGGTGCGGCTGTTCCTCCTCCTGCTCCTCCCCCTCCACCTCCCCCAATGCACACAGGCTAAACCCTTTCAGATTGCGCGTAGCACGAGGGGGGTCCTTTTGGGGGGTCTGCTCTGACCCCCGTCGGCGGACAGATGAAAATCACCGCAACGTGAAAAAGATGAGCGGGAGGGGTAGAATCTCAGGTGCGGCGCGAGCGCACGCAGCCTGTCCCATCCCCCCTCCCTCTCCCCATTCCTCTTCCATCCCTCTCGCCCTCCCTCTCGATCTCATCCCCCTCTCGGCCCGTTCCTTTTGAGCGCCCCCCGCCGGCGGTCGCTTTTTCCGCCGCGGGCCCCCGTGGCAGATTGGGGAGAGGTCTCGCTACGGCCATTAAGAAGTTGAGCGTTCCGCCTCCCTTTCCTTCTTTCCTCTCCCCTTCCCTGTCCCTCCCCCCGCCCCGCCTGTAGTCTTCCCTCATCTCCTCTCCCCGCATCCCCCTCGGAGAACTGCCCTACCCTCCGCCCCTCTCCGCCCACTCCCCTCACCGCCCCCCCGCTCCCCCATCCCCGCTGCTCCACCCCTCCCCTCCCGTACACAACACCTCCCCTCGTCTCTCGTTGTCACCCCCGCCCTTCGATTCTCCCATCTCCCCCGCCACTTCCCGGCCTCCCTCTGCCGCTCCGCTCGCTCTCTCCCTCTCCTCCTCCTCGCCCCCTCCCTCCCTCCCTCGCCCGCTTCCTCCCGCCTTCTCTCCTCCTCTCCCCGTCATCGTCCTCCGGCTGTTACCCGCCGCGAGCGCCCGCCTTGGCAGCTATAGCCGCGGTGCGAGGGGGAGCTCCTCGGAGAAAAAAGCGCGCGGGCTCGCCCTGCCGGGGACGGGCAAGGTTGGACATCCTATTCGTCCGTGTCCTCTTCCTGCTCCTCTCTCTTGCTCCTTCTCCCTGCAGCTCCCTTTTTGTTTATTGTCCTGCCCCTCCTCGTCCTCCCCCGCGAGGGGGCCCCACTCGGCCACGACCACCTCCGTCCCCCGGAGCTTGATCGACGCAGGCGACCTTGACAGATTTACAGCGTTCCAGCAGCGTCGCCAAGAGAAACACCGCACGCTGAGATGTTGCACATCCAGAGCGCTGCTGTGAATGGGAGGAGGGAGGAGGAGGAGGAGGAGGAGGAGGAGGAGGAGGAGGAGGAGGAGGAGGAAAGGGAGGAGGAAAAGGAGGAGGAGGAGGAAGCGGAGGAAGAGGAGGAGGAAAGGGAGGAGGAAAAGGGGGAGGAGGAGGAGGAGGAGGAGGAGGAGGAGGAAAGGGAGGAGGAAAGGGAGGAGGAAAGGGAGGAGGAAAGGGAGGAGGAAAGGGAGGAGGAGGAGGAGGAGGAAAGGAAGGAGGAAAAGGAGGAGGAGGTGGAGGCTTGGCATTGCAAACGACACGACATGTCTGCTACCCCCTGGGGGCAACTGCTGCAGTGCATGCTGGCCGGCGGGCCCGGCATGCCGTGTCTGCTGCGCCGGTGGAATTCCGTGGGCCCGCTGCTCCGGGTCGTGATGGCACCCTCGCGTGCGCAATCCACGCGTTGCGTGAGAGCTCTTGCCAAAAACTAGGTATCCCATCCAAACCTGCTCGAGATACCTCACGAAAACGTGCACGAGGTGGTGGTCCCTTCGGCGTGGTCTCGCGCAGGGTTTGGGGGCACGACCTGCGCGGCAAGGTTCGGCGCTGATGGCTTCACCAACGAGCTGCGCGGCGACATCCTGGCTTGGTTCGGCGTGCCGCCCGTGGGGGCGGCGCCTGCTGCGCCCGACGGCGGCGGGGAGGTGCCTGAAAGCTCCCCGCAGGCCGCCTTGAGGGGTGCTGGCCGCGAGAGGGGCGGGGGAGGGACGGCCGCCCCTTGCGCGTCGAGCTCGTCGCCAGCGGGCGGCTTGCTGGCTGATGCAGACCACGCACGAGGCAGTCCGCGCGGAGCCGTTCACAAACCAGCAGGCGCAGCTGCGGCGCCCAGCGGTTCGGGGGCGGCGGCGATCAGCCGCCCCGAGGCCTTGCAGGCGGGCGTCCTGGACGAGTCTGGCCTGGCCGACTGGGCGAGAGAGGCCGAGGCGATGGCCGAGGGGCGCAAGCGAAGGCGCCCCGCGGGCCCCCCTGGGTCCTCTCAGGGGCGGAGAGCGTGCGACGGTGGTTGACCGTCAGTGCGGGGCCGTATCCTTCGCTTGTTGCCCGCCTCCGCCTGCTGCCCTGTTTCTGCCTGGGGCCATCGCATCGCGGTGTCGGAGGAGCGCGAGCGTGACGCGGGCTCCCCCCGCGGGCCCCGGGGAGCGCTTCGGCGCAAGCCCTAAATGGCAGCTTTGTTTTCTGAGCGTGGGCTCCCCCCATGGGCCCCGGGGCTGCTAGGGCGCAAACCCCTGAGGGCAGTTTGCAGCTCGGCCTGTCAAGGTCCCTCGGCGTTGGCGAGCAGCGTTTGGCGAGGTGGGCGCCGCGCGGCTGGCCGCCCGCGCTGTCGCGCTCTTCCCGCCCCCAGGCGCGTGGCCCTGTGAGGGCTCTGAGGCTCTGGCCCTTCCCCGCTGGGCTCCCTGGGCGGGCTGGGGTCGTGGCGGCCCTGCCCCTGGGGCGCGGCCCAAGGTGGCCCGCCTGTCCTTCTTCCTTTTCTCCTCGGCGTCAAGCTCCTTCAGTTTCAGCTTCAGCGCGGCAGACCACGGGGGCCAGCACGGCAGACCAGAGCACAGCAGACCAGCAGGGCAGACCAGAGCATGGCAGGCCAGAGCACGGCAGACGGGCACGGTTGACCAGCACCACAGACCAGCATTGCAAAGTAGCAGGGCAGACCAGAGCACGGCAGACCAGAGCACGGCAGACCGCAGCACCAGCAGAGGAACCACGCAGACGCGCGGCAGACGACAGGAGCACGGCAGAACATACAGGAGCATGGCAGACCACATAGCACCACGGCAGAGCACTTGCAGCTGGACAATTCGTTAGTCGCGGGCCCCCGACATGTCGAGCGTCCGTGCCGATCGCCTCTGCCGTGCTGCGACGTAAGAATGTAGCGGTGACCGAGCTGGTTGTCGTGGCAAGGTGCGGGGCTGTTGCGCTGGTCTTGATCTGAGCAGCCGAGGCAACCGTTGCGCGTCCGCCCTCCGTTCTTGCCAGCGTCGTTGCTCGCGCGCTTTGCTGTCCGACCAGCTCTGCGGAACGGCCCGTCGCGATGCTGACTTGGAGCCCCATTCAAGCGCATCGGGCCAGGAGCCGCCGCGAAAGCAGCCCATGAGAGCAGCCCTGGTTTGCCCGAGGACTTCCCCCGAGGGCTCCGCGCCGCCGCGGAGCGCCCCAGGGCGGCCCGAGAGGGCGGCCCAAGAATGCCCCCGGCGACTGTTCCGCAGCCACGTCGGGCCACATGATTTGGTCTCAAGCCACCGCGGCTATACAGTAATCCAATCACTTCGGGGACAGCGGGCGGCCTGCGCCGCGGTGGCGAGCGGGCTGCGCGCCGACGCGGGCGCCCCGACGCACTCGCGCGGCCCCAACGGGTCGGCCCCCATCTTTTGGGGCGTTCCGTGGGCGGGAACGCCGCGGAGACATTCCGCGGCAAGGCGGGCCGGCTCTACCGCGCGGGGCGCTGCGACAACGAGCGCGAGCTTGCCCTCGGCTTCGCCCTTCCCCGCCGGGGCGGGCAGCAACGGCGACCCGCGGCCGCGCGGTCTACCACCGCGCCCAGCGGGGCCCCGGCATAGGGGGCGGCCCATATCTGAAGGCCAGTCTCTGCGCAGGTAGTCTGCGGGCATGGCGGGGGGACAGTTCCCCGACGTGGTCGCAGTGGGCAGCTCCCCGCGGGGCCCGTCGGCGCGGGCATCGCGGGGCGCCGAGGACGCGACGGCAGAGCGACTGCACCAGTGGGGCGTCCGCGGTCTGAGGAGTAATTATTTTGGCCCGCGCGTCCGGGGCGCGCACCGGAAGGGCCGCGTCGCCTTCAGGACTGCGCCTGCGGGGAGCAAGGCAAAGTGGGCCACGAATGACGTCGCGGCAATGTCTGCCGACGGAGCCCGCGCGATGCGGAGGGAGTTGGGGAGGCGCATGAGAAACGGCAAGCTGTGCGGCAGGTCCGAGGTGATCGAATGCAGCAAGATCGTGGACGATCTTATCCAGGAGCGCGGGTTCGTCCATCCGTCCCTGCGGTAGCGCGGAGCCCTCCCGAAATGCGATCTTCCGCCTCCTGAACGTGACGACGGCAGAGGAGAAGGCGTAGGTGAACGATGGCAAACGGTTGGCGTCGGCGCCTGGCGGCGATTGGGACGATGCGGGCGGCATCCCGCAAGGCGTTGGCCAGCCCGCTTTGGCGCGTTGATTTGCCGCGCATTGGCGCTCCAGCTGGCATCTGGTGCCACAAAAGTTGCTGTTGTTGCTGCAGCTGCTGCCGCTGCTGCTCTTCCTCGTCCTCCCGCGCGTAGAGCGCCGAGACGGCGAACGAGTATACTGGCCGTTCCCGACAGGCCTGTCTGAGCGCAGACCGCGGCCTCCGCGACGCGCAGGGCCTGCCTGAGGGCCAGGAGAGGAGGCGGCCCGCTGCGACGTGCGACGACGACCCGAGCAGCCTCCCTGCATGGGGCGGCGGCCACAGGGTCGGCGCCCCAGCGGGAGCGCTCCGTGGCATCTGCGGCGGCGGCCCTCGGCCTCAGAGCGGGGCCGCTCCTCGTGCTGGGCCGCAGCCCGCGCTGCGCCTTGGCCGACGGCGCGGACGAGGGCCCCACGGGGCGCCTGATCGGTTGCAGCCGCCGCGGCGCCCGCGCTGGCATGGACGGGGGCAGAGGGCCCAAGCTGAACGAAGGATTGCAAAAACGAAGGATTGCAAAAACGAAGGGTTTTGTTTTGCAATCCTTCGTTGCAATCCTTCGTTCGAGTGCCCGAGCTGCCCACCCAAGGAGCCCCAAAGGGCGAGGGCGGTCGAGACCAGAGCTCCGCCAATGGGAGCGCGGGCAGCACCCAAGCGGAGGGCGCGCAGGGAAGGAGAGGGCCATCGAGGCCCCGCGCCAGCTGGACACCACCAGCGAGCTGCGCGGCGACATCCTGGCCTGGCTCGGCGCGCGGCCCGGGGAGGCGGCGCCCGCAGCAGCCGTCGGACCCGCTGGCCGCGAGGGGGGCGGGGGAGAGGCGGCCACCTCCCGCGCGCCGAGCTCGTCGCCAGCGGGCCGGCCGCAGCCGCGATCAGCCGCCCAGAAGCCATGCAGGCACGCGGCCTGGACGAGGTCGGCGTGGCCCGAATGGGCGGACGAGGTGGTTGCGGCGGAGGAGCGCAAGCGGAGGCGCCTCGTGGGCCCCGTTGAGCAGTCAGCTTAGGGGTGGAGGGCGTGCGGCGGCGGTCTGCCCGCCTATCTAGGCGGCAGCAACTTCCAACGGGCCTCCGCAGAACCAGAAGGTGTCTAGCGAGATTGCGCTGACGCGCTCTCTCCGCCCCCCAGGCGCGTGGCCCTGTGGGGCTCCGAGGCTCTGGCCCGTTCCCCGCTTGGCCCCTTGGGTGGATGGGGGCCTTGGTGGCCCTGGGTTCCGGCCCAACGTGGCCCGCCCACTTTTTTGTTCCCCTTGTTTCGTTGGCTCCACGCTTCCACATCTACAGCTACACACAGGAGCACGGCTGATTTCACAGGAACGCCCCACGTCATAGGAGTGCGGCATACCACGGGAGCACGGCAGGCTACACAGGAGCATAGCAGACCACGGCAGGAACGTTGCAGATCATAGGAGCACGGGAGCACGGTAGCCCACAGGAGCACGGCAGACCACAGGAGCATAGCAGTTGGCAGGAGCACGGCAGACCACACCGAAGTACGGCGGACCTCGCAGGAACACGGCAGACCACAGAAGCACAGCAAAACACGTCACGTGAGCACGGCAGACCACACGCACGGCATACCACAAAGGAGCACGGCAGACCACAGGAACACGGCAGACCACAGAAGCAAGGCAGACCACAGGAGCATGGCAGAGCACACGGGTGCACGGCCCGCACGGCAGACCACAGGAGCATGGTCGGCCTCGGGCCTCAGCAGCATTCCGGATTTCCGGATTCCAGATCGGACGTTCTCCCTCCTCATCTCTCTTGCATCTCCAGCGCCAGCTCTGTCGCATGCAGGATTCCGGAGTTCGGGATCCAGATTTGGGATTCGGCTGGTTCGCAGGCTCAGCTCCATCCCAGCGCCAGGTCTCAGCAGCATTCCGGATTCCGAGTTGGACTTCCTTCCTCATCTTTGTCATCCCCAGCGCCAGTTCGGTAGCATTCCGGATTTCGGATTCCAGATTCCGTATTACATATTCGGTTGGCTGGCAGGCTCAGCTCGATCCCAGCGCCAGGCCTCAGCAGCATTCCGGATGCCGGTTTTCCGACGGGACTTCCTCTGCCCTCATCTCTGTCACTCCCAGCGCTCAGTAGTATTCCAGATTCCAGATTCGGCTCGCTGGCAGGTTTAGCTCCATCCCAGCGCCAGGCCTCAGCAGCATTCGGATTCCGGATTCCGGATTCCGGATTCCGGATCGGACCTATTTCCTCCTCATTCTTTCATCCCCATCGCCAGCTCGGTCAGCATTCCGGATTCCGGACTTCGGATTCCGGATTCGGCTGGCCGGCAGGCTCAGCTCCATGCCAGCGCCAGGCCTCACCAGCATTCAGGATTCCGGATTCCTGATGGGACCTCCTCCTTCCTCGCATTTCTTCCCGAGCCAGGTCGCTTGAGCGTTCAGGATCCCGGATTCCGGATTCCGGATTCCTGCCAGCCAGCTCCCTCCCAGCGCCAGGCCTCAGCAACATGCTGGATTCTGGACTCCGGGTTCCGGATGGGGCCCTCCTGGCTGGAACCTTTGGATCACCTCTCGGCACACGCCCGCCCATCGCAGGCCGGCGTCGCCCAACGGCGTTGCAGAGCCAGCTGACGCAGCCGCTCTGCATGCGCGAGCTGGCTCCGCGTCTGTGCAGTCTTTGGGGCACTGCTTTCCCAGACCCCCGACGTCAAGATTTTTTCATGACGCGACCCCCAGAGGTCCAGACCCATTCCCCGTGACCGGTTTTTCGTCCCGAGTCGTTTTCTGACGGTCCTGAGGCCCGGTGAGGGCCCTCAGAGACCGAAGATAGCGAAAAACCTCCCGTCGTGAATTTTTCACAACGCGAGGGGGTCTGGGGACGCAGCCGCTCTGCATGCGCGAGCTGGCTCCGCGTCTGTGCAGTCTTTGGGGCGCTGCTTCCGCACCTCGCGGACGAGCAGAACTGCCCGGCTCCGCCGGCCGGGCGCCCCGCGGAGGTTCTCGCCCCCGCGCGCGCGAGGCGCTTTTGTTCCCGGGTGACTGGCGCGCACTTCGCGCTCCGCCGCGCGGGCTGTGCCTCCCCTGGCTTGCTCCGGCGCGCCTTGGGTCCGTGGGGCCAGCGCACTCTTGGGACTGCTTGTCCGCAGCACCGATGCTATAGTCGGGTCGCTGAAGAAGGAACCCTTCTCGTTCGGGAGGGGCGCCGTGTTCCTTCATCGTTTGACAGCCTGCCTCAGGTTTTCCTTATGCTTTCGATGGGAACTCGAAGTTTAACTTCTCGAGAAAAGGGGCCTCGTTCCTTCTTGATCGTTCCTTAGGTCAACGCTCCGACTGCATTTGCTGCTCGAGTTGTTCGAGGAGCGCCTCGAGCACCGCGGCCTCACCGAGCAGTCCAGGCCCCCTCTCGCCCTGCCATCCGCCCGAGATCGCAGGCCCAGAGAGTGACACCAGCACCAATATCGGCGGTGTGCATCTGCCGAGGGAAGAATGACGAACGAACAACACACACCCATACCCACAGGGGGGTTGCTGGGAGGGGGACTGGCTATGGGTATGGGTGCGGGTTGTCGGACCCTGGGGAACGCTCCCGTTCGAACGGGGACCCCCATCCGACAACACGCACCCATAGCCCTCTCCGACCCCCCTATGGGTATGGGTGTGTGTGTTGTTGGTTCGTCAAAGAAGATCCCGATCTCGGTGATGGTGGTAATGTTCTGGCTTCCAAGGCGACCGAAACATTGCCACCAGCACTGAAATTTAGGACCTAGGACCGTCTTCCCCATGTGGAGGCAACCCCCTGTGTTGGTGTTGGTGCCCACGTCTAGGCCTCAAACGAGAATCAAGGGGTCATCCAGGAATGGTGCCCAAGGGCCTCGTATCCAAGGCTGTCCGGGCCGCCTGCCGCCGCACGACGGCCGAGCGGGTGCACCGTGCGGGTGGCGCGCGTGGCGTGGTCCCGGCTGGTGCCCCGGCTGGTCGACGGTGCTCGACGGGTCGAGTTCTCGACGCAGGTCAGCAGGTCAGCATCGTTCCAACGATCTCCGACCCCATCCCCATCCCCTTCGAGACCCCCGCCGAATTACCACCCCAGTTGGGGATGCACCCCTCGAAACCCGAAGAGAACGACCTACATCCCCATCTAGGGGGGTAAATCGGCCAGCGAGGCCCAGGCCGCGCCGCTGGGGATGGGGATCGGTTGAACGATACTCAGCAGGCTCCCAGTTGCGATGCGTATCCAAAAATTGGGGGCCCTTCGGCATGGATGGGCTGGGACTTGGTGAAGAACAAGTTCTGGGGCTATGAGTTCTCCAAGGGCGAACTCGACGAGCTCGAGGCGGCCATGGCGTCCGCCCTGAAGTCGGGGGACCTCTCGTGGGACGGCGACATCGCCGTCAACGTGTCGCAGGAGAACTTCCAGCTCGGCGCGGTGGCGGCGACGCTGGCGGAGCTCAGCGAGGAGCTCGAGAGCAAGGGGTGCGCTATGATCGCGAACGTTCCGGTGGAGAAGTACTCGGAGGCAGAGCTCAGCGTGCTCTACCAGGGCATGTGCGCGTACGTGGGCCAGTGGGTGCCGCAGTCCTCGGCGGGCTTGCGCTCCAGGAGCCGCGGCTACGGCATGCCTCTCGGGAAGATCAAGGCGGAGATGCACGGCAACACGCCGCTCGCGGGCAAGCAGGCGAACAATTAGCCCAGAGGTTCACACCATTCTGCCGGATCCAAGAAGACGAGGTTCGTGGCATTGTCTTGGGACGTGCGAGGCCCATGAGGATAGTGACGATGAGGACGAGGGGAGGAGGAGACGGAGAGACTGAGGAGGACGACGACGACGACCATGGAAAACCTAACAGCTACACCTCCCAATCAGCGAATGCTCGGTGGTATTGCCTCGACGCACGTGGCCGCACACTTGGGCCGTTAGGGGCCCTCCTTGAGCACTTTTTGTCGTCTCCCCTGGGGCCCTCGTCGGATAACTCGGGTCCTCTTGGGGCCTCTTGGTGCCTTCTTGACGCCCCTGGCAATTCTAGCCGTTCTGGAGAAGGTTAAATCCGTCTGTGAGCGTCCAGGGGTCCTCTTGGAAGTGTCTTGGGGTAGTCTTGTAGGTCATGTACGGGCCCGCTTGGGCGCTCCTCAGACCTAGTTCGTGGGAAGCTCATCTTGGAGTCAGAATGTAAGGATTTCGCAGCTTATCGCACCTCGAGGCCATCCGCGGCGCATTGGGTACGGCAATGCTGCGGCCATCGTGGATGTCGTCGAGGCCCATCTTGGGGGTTCTGTGGGGCCATGCTGGGGCTATCCTGGACCTCATGGGAGCCGTGTTGGGCCGTTCGAGCAATTTCCATGGATCGTGTTTTTGCCTGGAGGGGGGAGCCTCTCAGGGACCCAGGCGTGCACTGATGACCTCGTCATCCCACCTCCCCACGCGCACATCCGCCTGGGCCCCCCCGCCCTCAAGTTAGACCGTGGACTCGGGGGATAGGGAACCGGGAGAGAGGATTGACAGCCAAACACCTCGCGCGCCTTCTCACCCCGAGCGGGCGGGGGCCGGCGCACTTCCGCTTGCACACCGACCGGTGTGATGTTCTCTCGCTGCTGTCCATCCGCACGGCGGCCGCTGGTGGGCGGTCCAGGATCGCCTCGGCCGTGACCATCCACGACAAGATGCTGGAGATGCACCCTCACCTGGTGCCATACCTCTACAGCCCCATCCCACGCATCTGGGAGGCAGGCATCTCCGACTTGCCAGTCTGGGCAGTGCACAAGGGCAAGTTTACCACCCAGATCTCGCCGTCATACATTGAGAACGCGCAGTTGTGCCCGGGCGTGCGCAAGCTGCTGCCTGAAGAATTGGAGGCTATAGATCTTCTTGAGGAGATCGGCCTGGAGGTCGGCCACGATTTCCTGCAGGAGCCGGGACAGATGACGTTCCTGAACAACCACTTGGTCTACCATGGCCGCACCGCTTGGAAGTACGAGGGCGACCAGGACGATGCAAGCCTGGGGAGGTTTCCGCAGAAGGCATCTATACGGTAGGTTCGCGTCGTGCCGACCGGCGGCGACCCCGCCGCCAGCGTTCAACGTCGGACGCCGCTGGCGACCCCGAGTCGGTCGATGCTGAACGATCTGAAGCTTCGGAAACGGCCGACCGTTCAGGGTCGAACGATCCCCGCGGCGTCAGGAGCCAACGCCGGGGTCGACACGACACGAACCTGCCGTACACCACCACAGTGCCTGGCCAGGACCGCCCCGGGCCCCACGGAGGGTGCGTGCAGGCCCTCCGGCGGCCGCGGCCGCGGGAGGCGTGTGTGTGCGCACGGTGGCCAGGAGAGCCGGTGGCGCACGGATGCGTTCCGCGGAAGGCTGCTGTTCCGCATGTGGCTCTCGCCGCGCAACTCGCGCGAGCTCCCCGACACGCCCGAGTTCCGCGCGCTCTGGGGCGACGTGCGCCCCGGGGCGGTGCGGGGCGGCCTGGAGCTCGGGGGGGGGAGGCGGGGCCGATGCCGCCGCCCGGCGTGGCGGGCCCCTGGTCGCAGCGGCTGGCCTCGCCTCGAGCTTCCGGTCGGAGCGCTCCCCGAGAGGGGTCCAGAGAGTACTCCAGGTTTCGTAGTAAAGGGAGGGGGGTCTCGTTTCGGGGGGGGGTCTCTTCCAGGCTATCTTGGAGGGCCTGGGGGGGGTCTGGGGACGATGTTTTGGAGGGTTCTCCCACGGGGGAGGTCTGAAGTGGCTTGTCTTGGAGGGTCCAGACCCCCTCCCTTTGATTACGGAATCTGGAGTAGCGGCATCGGTGTTTCTGTGTTTTTTCATCCCAGGAGCCCGCGGTCAGAGCCGGGCTGGTTGAGAAGCCCAGCGAGCTGACCGACGCAATCAACTCGGGGACCTATGATCCTGGAGGCTCACGTGCGCCATTCCGCCGGCACCCCGGAAGAAACACTTGGAGGATGAGGAGGAGGAGGAGGAGGAGGAGGAGGAGGAAGAGGAGGGGGAGGAGGAGGAGGAGGAGGAGGAGGAGGAGGAGGAGGAATGCTATGGGAATGCTATGAGAACGGACCTCTGTCCTACAAACCACAAACCATTAACCCACAAGGGGTTAATCTGAACTTCCTGAATCCTCTCCTCCCACCGCCCCAACAAAATTGGGCGGCTCTCGTCGAAGAGCCTCCGCTCCTCTCCGAACTCCGCGACTGGCCTGCGCGGCGGGCCTTGCCTCCGCGGGGATGGGCGGTGGGGGAGGGTCGGAGGAGGAGCCCCCAGGCGCAGCACCCTCGGAATACGACCGAACGACGAGAGACGACACCCTCTCACCATCGCGCGCCGCCATTGCTTCCACAACGGCTTGTGGGGGCCCCTCTCTCCTCGGGTAAGCACCCTTCCGAATTCTCGCCAAATTCTCTGACCCCCTAGGGGTCAGACCTTCGCAACGCTTCCTGATGTGTCTATCATCCACTGTCGCGAAGCGACCACACTTACTGCAGGCATGCATAAACCACTTGTCCACGTAAAACATAGCGTGGGTCTCATGAAATTCCAGGGCCCCCGAAACGAACCTATGGGGGGCCTGCTGGACCTCGGGTGGCCGACTTCCCTCAGGGAGGGCCCTGCCTGCGCAAGGGGTGGCCGCAAGCTTGAGCAGCCTGGAGCCTGGCGCCACCTGATCACACACGGTGCATCTCCAGCCCGCGCCAGCCTTCACAATGCTGTGGGCCGACTCTCGGACCGCTCGAGCTTTCAGGTTGGCGGGCAATCGCTTGGCAGCAGCCTTGCGTTCGCCTTTCGCTTGCACTTCTACATTCGCTGACTCGGCCAGCGTTTTTCTCGCGCGGCGTCGCACAAGACTGGCGATGGCATCTATTCGGTCCGTCTGCGGATTTTCCCCCACCAGCCCGAACTCCCACGCCAGCTCCGCCCCCTCCCTCGCCCAAATATCCGCCGCTGCGTTGCCTGCCGCAGTCTCTAGCTGTTGGTCTGCCACCAGCAGCTCAGGGGATTCATCTGCATGAGAGGGTGCCCACTGTACTTCGACAGTGGCGGTGTCTGGCCTGAGGCGCCAGGCCTCTCGGGCCCTGGTCCAGAGGTCTTCATTAGCCCCTGTCGGGCGGGGGTTCTCCATTTGTTTTGCGCCACTTCCGAGCTACCGATAAATGATCAGTTATAGACAGGAACGATCCCGAAATCCCCTCTAAGGCCATGCAAAAAGCCTGGATCTCGGAGCGCGGGACGGTCTGGCGGGCTCCGCGCAGGGGGCGAGACAACGCTGCTTGCAAATCCAGCACACCCTGGGACCATCTCAGGGAACAACTAGCAGACCCGCAGCGTCGTCGCCTGGGGTCATCAGAAAAAACGCCCCCCCGAGCCGTCGCCGCAAATCTTTAAAATCCCGTCGCTTCCTCGAGAGGCTTCAAAGTCATCCCTCCCGCCCAACCTGAGCCCCCGCCCCTCCAGACGCCCTTCCTCGAAGAGGGGGTGAGTGAGGCGAGTCGGGGGAAGGCCACGCAGCCATAAGGCTGGCTCAGCTTCTGCTTGCACTAGTGCTGCAGCTACTAAAGGTTCGCTCTTAGTAAAATCCTCGTGCTCCGTGTTACTAGAACATCCCCAAATCCTGTGCCTCAAGGTTTCGGGGGCGGCTTTACATCTCGGGCACTCGACTGGGACCTGATATCCTTTTTCACTGCTACGGACTCGCGGCCACTGGCCGCCAGCGACCACCGTCACGTTGAGCGCCAGCTGGTCGAGCATACCCTTGCGCTCGAACCGCCGCTGCTCCATGACGATGAGCCACAGATCGCCGCCCGCCTGCAGGTTGACGCCGCACTCGTGCTTGGCGGCCTCCGTCCACAGATCTCTCCTCAGGTCGCCCTCCAAGTCGTCTAGCAGCTCCTCGAAGCAACCCGCGTCGACAAAGGTGCCGTCCTCGGAGGCCGGCAGCTCCCGCATCTCCATCTCACCCACTCCAGGGCGAAGCCACCGTGTCGCTGTCGTGGGTGTCCATCCTGCATCCATCAGTGTGGCAATGAGAGCGCCTGTAGGTCCACGTGCTGCTCGCCATCGCTTCGCCCCCAAACGAAGTAACCTTGATTTAATGGCATGCCACGCCTTAGCAACTCGACGATGAATGTGCGGGAACCTCTGCCACATACCAATCCATTCACGTACCACGCCCAAACGAATATCCACGGCAGGGTCGCGAAGCCCCAACTCCATGCCCAGCGTGGTCGTGAGACAGCGTCCTCCTGCACTACCTCCTGCCACTTTGCCAGCCTGGCGACGAAGTTGTGCGATCTCCTGCTTGGACATTCCAAAGGTCTGCTGCCCGCAGATCGCTTGTGGCAGCGCCCCCGCATTGTAGAGGCCTTTGGACTCCTTCTTCAGCGCAGCGATTCTCCTAAGCTTGACAATGATGGCGAACCTCTTACGCGCCTTGTCTTGTGTGTGCTTACTCTTCGTCGTAACCCTTTTCCTTCCGCCAGCAGTGTCCAGCCCCAGGTCCGTTGCCACCCCCGTAGCTTTAGCTGGTATACCTCGACGTAGTAATCGCTCCGCTGCCTTCTTCGCTTGTTCCAGGTCGGAGCCGATCACTGTCGTCTTCTCCGATATTGTCATTCTCTGTCTAACCAGTCCCATGCAAATATCAGTAGAGACCTCCACCAGCTGCTCGCTTACCGCGTCGACGCTTCCCTCGAATCTGACCACCGTATCGTCAACGAACGCCCATAATCCTGCTGATGGGTTCCTCCGATGAGCCAATTCTAGCACTGGGTGAAGAACAATTTTGTCAATGTCACCCCTCGAGCTGAGCCGGCCACCAGCGATCTGGTAGGCCATATAGCCTCGCTTATGGCGGACCGCTCCTGTAAACACCGTGGCTCTAGGAACATGACCATTTCCAGCCCCACAGCGACTGCTGGGAATCCTGACGCGCAAGCTGTCTGCATCAAGATCACCAAGGAGACCGTGTCATAGAATTTCTCGATATCTAACAAAAGCGTCAAGGCCGATGCCCCTATCTCCATCCCCGTCTCGTCCAATATGGCTCGCAGCAGCCCTGTTCTGAGTGCCGAACTGCCCTTGATCGCTGTATCCCAGTGGTCAGATAATCCCGCACTCCACATTGAGCACACACCTCCACGAGCTCTGGACCACAACTTGACTGGGAGGGGTAGCATGCCTAGCACGCGATCTCCCGCTGCAGGCCCTGGTTTCGCCACCATTGCACACTTGGTCGCCGATAACTGCCGTGGCCACGCCATCGTGCTTTCACTCCGTTGCAGTATGTATAACAGCTCTTCCTTCGCCGTCGCGGGGAGTCTGTCAATGTCAGTGGGGCCCAGTTGATCAAATCCTTTTGCCTTTGAAGCAGCAGTAACACGCAGAGCAACGTTCAGCATCTCCATGTCGATGGGGTCAAGGTCCTCCTGTATCGCTCTGCGCCGCGTGTGCTCCAGCTGTTCAATAATGTCCGTGCGCGTATCCACAGGATCCGTCCAAATGGTCTCCCATTTACTGGCCTTCGAGCGCATGGTGATGGTTGGGTCAGCCGTGGCAAAATCTGGTCTTATCGCCATCTCGTATCTGGGTGCCTCCTTCGGCTTGACGTGCCCGTGCAATATACCCGCCTTGGTCTGCCAGGCCTTCTTCGCCCAAGTCGCGAAGCTTTTCCTCGCCGTCGTCATCGATCTGGACGATGCCTTGGCCAGGTACCTCTCCGTCTGGTCAACCAGATTTGCCAGCTGTCCCAAGTCTAATTCTAGAATGTCCTCTGCCATTTGGAAGTGCATATTGCTGCTGGTCTCAGCGTCGTGCTTGCTAAGGGCATCCTTGTGCGAGATGCCTCTGAGCACTCCGATCTGCCTGAGGATACGCTTGACACACATGCTCTGCTGCTTGACATCAGTGCCATTCACCACCAAGGACTGATATCGAACCAAATCAGCTGCCAACATGCTCCATTCCTCTGCTGGTCCGTATCTCATGCGTGCACGTCCTGGTGCGGGTTTCGCACGTATCCATCGTATGCCAAATCCTGACGCGCGCCCCTTACACCGCAGCGCCTCCTGAACGTACATTTGCTCATTCAGGATGTGGGCCTCCTCTACCCTCGCGACCCACGCGCCGTATTGCTCCGTCAGCTGGTACTCGTCCATCTGGTGCTTCGCGCTCCTGATGATAATCTTGTCACCTGTGATGCGCATCTCCTCCGTCAGTTCCAGCTTGTGATCCCCGAAGCTAACCTGCCCCCAGATCTCGCTCGTGATGTCGTAGGGCTTCGGCGGCACCGAGCCAATCAGGGTGTCAGCCGCCGACTCCTCCACCGTCATGGCCTCCGCGTAGGCCTCCTGCAGGTGCTCATCCAATGCGTGCTGCACCCTGTGGCGCGCCGCCTGCTTCTTCTTGCTCGTCTTCGAGTCTGGGTCCGCCAACTTCTGAGGACGACCTTGGTGCGGGAGTGCCTTCGGGATGTCAACCTGCCGATGCCACCACTCCTGCTTAGTGCCCTCTACCACCAACTGCAATCCACAGTGCGTGCGCCATGGTACTCGGCCCTCAGCCAATAGCTTGAGCCTGGGCGCGAAATCCAGCCTCGCAATGCCGTAATCGATGAGGCTGCCCTTACCTTTGTCGCACGTGATGCTGATATCTGGGCGGATGACAACTCCGCCCAGCCTACCTGGTAGCTCAGCTTTCTCCATATGTTCGAGCGGGATATTCCAATCAGCCAAGCTCACCCAAGGATCCGTGAGAGACCTGACGAAACCTGACAGGGATCGAATTCTGTGGCAATTCGACCCTGTGAAACCTTCACCTGGGACCAGGTACGCCGCGACCAGGATGATGTTGCCCGATCGCGCGTGGACATTGAGCGCTGCAAATCCCCTAAACGGGTCATCGTAGCCCGTGCAGGCCAGGTGGGTTTTGGCCACGATGAACTCGCCGCCAGAGGTTCCTGTCTCCGATCGCTTGGTGGGCACCGCTGCTGTGCCCGATAACTTCCAGCCGTCGCGGGATACCTCCTCCCTCACCTGCTCCAACTTGTTACAATCTACATGCGCCTCGCACATCATGATGATATCCTTCTGCTTACCGTCTACCGAAATGAACTTGTGGGCCTTGGGCCCCCACATTGTGATGTTGGAGAAGATGCTAAAGGCCATACCCACCAGGCTGCTCATCACCGTCAGAGCCGAGCACCACTTCTTTGTACGTCGAAGTTGCCTTGCCCTTGGCCGCCTGGACCTTCTGCTCGGTCTGCTGCTTGATTTTGTCGATGATCTCTTGCCGTTCACGACCCTGTTCTGCTGCGGGGCCAGGCGGCCTGACCACTGGTGCCGCCTGCAGGCACCGCCGCGGGTCCTGGGCCGCCGCTTGCAGCCTCAGCAGCCTGCGTCTCTTGCACCCCCTTCTGGGTCCCGCCAGTGCCGTCAACCTTCTTGCGCTTCTTCTGGGCCTGCCGCCGTAGGCTGGCCGCCTCCTGCTTGAGCTCGCTGAACTGGCGGAACTGACCCGCCGCAGCCTGGAGCAATTGGTCCAGCGCCTCCATGTCTGCTTTGAACTTCTTGAGCTTGATCCTATCCTCCTCCTCGTAGTCGTCCAGGTCGTCGAACAGGTCGCCGACCGCAGGTGCCTGCCATTCTGCTTGGGGCGGGTCTGGGGGCTGGCAAGCGGTCTCCGCCTGGTTCGCCGCCAACGCCCTCTTGTGCTCCAGCATCGCGTCTGCCGCATCCCCGATAGCCTTCTCGTTCTTGGCGCGCAGCTGCGAGATCTTCTCCTCCGCCTCCTGCAGGGTGGAGGTCGTGCTCTCCACCTCCAACTGGCACCTGTTGAGCTTGTTGATCGCCTGCCGCAGCTCCAGCTCCTTAGAGGCCTCCTTCTTGGGGGCCTGTGCAGCCGCTTGCACCTGCGACTGCACCGCTTTGACTGGTCCCAGGTCGATTTGAGGGGCCATCTGCGCCGTGAGTGTCTCGACTCGCTCCCGCATGCTGCTGAGCTCTGCCAGCGAGCCATGTACTGCCGTCGCCTTACGCCAGGGAGGCCCCTTGCCGCCCTTGCTCTTGCCGACTTCGACACCCGGTACACGTTGCGCTTGTGGCGACCAACCTGGGAGTACAGTTTGGCACTTGTAGCACCAGCCGCCCGACCTCTCGAGCTTCCAGTCGTAGACCCAGCCACCGCAGGTCTTGCAACACGTGTAGGTTTGGCGCCCGCGCCCCATTGCGCGCGCAGGCACACCGCTGGAGTTGCCAAAATCGTGTCCGAGGAATGAGTCTCTTGGCCCCAGCAGCGCGCAGCCCGACTGGGGTTGCCTGAAACGGGAACAAGCCTCGGACTAGAGGTATCCACTTCTTGCCCGTGGGACAACAACATCTTGAGCCAAAATGGCTACGGAGGAGGAGGAGGAGGAGGAGGAGGAGGAGGGAGGGGGAGGAGGAGGAGGACGACGACGACGATGCCGACCATTGCGGCGACGACGAAGACGACGACGACGACGACGACGACAAGCAGCAGGAGGAGGGTGAGGAGAAGGATGAGGACGAGCTGGAGGAGGAGGAGGGAGGAGGAGGAGGAGGGGGAGGAGGAGGAGGAGGAGGAGGAGGAGGAGGAGGAAGAAGAAGTCGAGTTGGAGGAGGACGTGGAGTGAGGAGGAGTTGGAGAAGGAGGAGGAGGAGGAGGAGGAGGAGGAGGAGCATGAGGAGGAGGAGGAGGAGGAGGAGGGGGAGAGAACAACGACGACGACGACGACGACGACGACGACGACGACGACGACGACGACGACAGCGACGAGGCTCTATTGGGGTCATTTGAGGGGTCGTCTTGGGGCCCACGCGGATGCTATTGGGACATCATTCGGGTCCCTCGGAGGGTCTCGGGCTCGTTTTGCAGAGTCTCATCAGGGCCATCTGGACAGATGGCAGTCTTAGGTCATCTTGGAACTCTTCTTTGCTCCGTCTTGGAGGCCAGCTGGTCACCTCTCGGACGTACGAGGCATTGTTTGGGCCATCTTGGCTTCACCTTGGGGGCCTCTTGGGTGCCTATTGGACCCTCTCGGAGGCATGGGGTGCGTTTCACAGGTCATCTTGGAGCTACGTGTGGCGTTCTACGGCCATGTTGGGGCCATCCTTGGAGGCAATTGCGGCCCCTCTTGGGCCACTTGGGACGTTTCGGGAGGCAAGACTTATCTGGCACATTGGAGCCGGCCGCGGCGCTTTCCGGGAGCTTTTTGCAATCCCGGAGCGCAAGTTGGGGAGTCTATACAGTCGGGGCCCTGAAGAAGGAATCCTTTTCGTTGGGGAGTGGCTCCGTGTTCCTTAATTGTTGCGCAGCTTGCCTTGGATGTTCCTTAGGTCTGCGATACGAAATCGAAGTTCGACTGATGGAAAATAGGGACCTCGCTCCTTATTTGGGGTTCCTTTAGGTCAACGCCTCGACTGTATATGGGTTCGGTGGGCCGAGGGCGACTTCGGGGGAGAATGCACCCGACCCTCAAGTTGGATGTCGAAGCCCCGGGAGAGCGAGCGAACAGATGGGGGGAGGAGGGGGAGGAGGAGGGGAGGAGGAGGAGGAGGAGTAGGAGGAGGAGGAGGAGGAGGAGAAGGAGGAGGAGGGGGAGGAGGAGGAGCAGGAGGAGGAGGGGGGCGCAGGAGAAGGAGGAGGAGGAGAGAGGTAAGGGGGCAGCCGCGCATCCCACACGTTGGCAAGCGGCGGTCGGCGGACTACTACGGCCTCTTCAGGAGGCGGTTCGCGGGCCAGAGCGTCGACCCATTCGGCTCGCCCTAGGACGTTGCCGCGTTTGCACCGCTATCACTACACCTTAGGCGATGCTTAAGAAAACCTAAGTTTTCGTCCTGAGTCTCGATTATTCTTAACTTTTCAATGTAAATCCCAAGATTTTGATAGAAGTTCTGGGTTTTATTCACTTTCTAAGACTATGAATTTCTTAACCCATGATTTCTTAAGCATTTCGCAGGGTGTACGCGTGCATTTCTTAACCCATGTTCTCCCAGATCCTGCGTGCTGCACTTCGTTGCATGAGCACAGTAGGTCTCATCAAGGCATCAAGGCCTCCAGCCTCGCGGATTGTCGAGGAGGCAGTTCGCAGAGGGAGCGCCGCAGGAGAAGATATGCACAATTGCGGTACTCAATATAGTGGGGTCCTTCGCCAGGCTAATGTTTCGACCAGAAGAGGCCCCAAGAGGGCCCCGAGATGGCCCAAAGGTCCGAAAGACGGACTTGGGATATCCCAGGAGGGCCCAAGAAGGGCCCCAGCACTCATGTACCACCCAGCCCTAGGTTGGTACATAACTCTCGGGGCCCTCTTGGGGCCATCTTTGGGCTTCTCTTGGAGCTACGTGTGGCGTTCTACGGCCATATTGGGGCCATCCTTGGAGGCAATTGCGGCCCCTCTTGGGCCACTTGGGACGTTTCGGGAGGCAAGACTTATCTGGCACATTGGAGCCGGCCGCGGCGCTTTCCGGGAGCTTTTTGCAATCCCGGAGCGCAAGTTGGGGAGTCTATACAGTCGGGGCCCTGAAGAAGGAATCCTTTTCGTTGGGGAGTGGCTCCGTGTTCCTTGATTGTTTCGCAGCTTGCCTTGGATGTTCCTTAGGTCTGCGATACGAAATCGAAGTTCAACTGATGGAAAGTAGGGACCTCGTTCCTTATTTAGGGTTCCTTGGGTCAACGCCTCGACTGTATATATGGGTTCGGTGGGCCGAGGGGGACTTCGGGGGAGAAGGCACCCGACCCTCAAGCTGGATGTCGAAGCCCCGGGAGAGCGAGCGAACAGATGGGGGGGCAGCCGCGCATCTCACACGCCATCGCACCCTTGGCAAAGCGGGGGTCGGCGGACTACTACGGCCTCTTCAGGAGGCGATTTGCGGGCCAGAGTGTCGACCCACTCGGCTCGCCCTAGGACGTTGCCGCGCTTGCACCGCTATCACTACGCGTGCATCGGCCAATGGTTTTATCGACCCGTGTTTTCCCAGATCCTGCGTGCCGCATTTCGTTGCATGCACACAGTAGGTCTCATCCAGGCATCAAGGTCTCCGGCCTCGCGAATTGTCGAGGAGGCAGTTCGCAGAGGGAGCGCCACAGGAGAAGATATGCACAATTGCGGTACTCAATATAGTGGGGTCCTTCGCCAGGCTAATGTTTCGACCAGAAGAGGCCCCAAGAGGGCCCCGAGATGGCCCAAAGGTCCGAAAGACGGACTTGGGATATCCCAGGAGGGCCCAAGAAGGGCCCCAGCACTCATGTACCACCCAGCCCTCGGTTGGTACATAACTCTCGGGGCCCTCTTGGGGCCATCTTTGGGCTTCTCTTGGAGCCCCCATGGGAGAATTCTCGAGGCCCTAGAGCCTGCAGAGGTCGCCCAAAATGGCCCCGAGATGGGCCCAAAAGGGCCAGAGGACGGCTCTGGGAGATCTCTTGACGGCCCAAGGAGGGCCGCGGCAGTCATGTACCACCGCGCCCTCTGTTGGTACAGAACTCCCAGGGCGCTCTTGAGGCCATCTTGGGCCTCTCTTGGGGCCTCCATGGGAGGTTTCTCGGGGCCCCCAGAGCCTGAAGAGGTCCCCAAGAGAGCCTCGAGATGGCCCCAGTTAGTCTGGAAGACGGCCCTGGGAGATCCCAAGGAGGCCCGAAGAGGGCCACAGCAATGATGTACCACCGGGCCCTCAGTTGGTACATAACTTTCGGGGCCCGCTTGGGGCCCTCTTGGGCCTCCTGTGGAGCCTCCATGGAAAAAAACCGAGGCCCCCCGCCCCCGGGGGTCCCACACCTCCCCGGAACATCTGCGGAACGCTCCCGGCACCGCGCTTCCCAGCCTCCGGGGGAGCCCCCAAAACGCCCAAGGACAGCCCAAGACGACCCCAAGAAGCCCCCAGAACGTAAAAGAACGGCCCAGGACGCTCCCAAGCAACCCAAGATAGCCTTCGGACGGCGCTCAAGGCTCCCAAAGAGCTTCCAACAGACCTTAAGAGAGTTCCAAGAGGCCCTCCGAGAGCGCCCGGGGAACCTAAAATCGTCAATTGTCGTATTTTTTGTGAAAATGCTTGGCCTTCTCACCATTTCATGCTTCCAACGCTCCCAGACGGCCGAAGAGGCCCCCGATACCGCCCCAAAACCGCCTGAGAGGCGCCCAAGACGGCCCCAATACGGACCAAGAAGGCCCCAAGACTACCGAAGAGGCGCCCAGGACAGCCCCAGACCACCCCAGAACAGGCCCAAGATGGGGCAAAGAGCGGGAGCAGGAGGCCTCCAGAGACCTCCGAGAGGCTTCCAGGACCTTCAGAGGCCCCCAACACACCTCAGACCCTTGAGAGGCCCCTAAAAAGCCCGTCAAGGCCTCCAAAACAGCCCAAGAGAGCTTCGAGAGCCGTCCCGAGAGAGCTCGAAGAGCAAAAAATCGTTAAGTTCCGTTGGTTGTTCTACGTTTTTCGTCTTCTCACGTTTTCCCGCTTCCACCGCTCAGAGACCGAGAACCTTTCTAAACATTGAATTCGAGAGATTATTTGTTCTCCCGTTGGGACTCCTACTCCCTATCCTCTTTCTCGACATTTTCTTGTTCATCCGACATCCTAGACATCTTGATTCACTCGAAGTCGGGGAAAGGCCGCCGCCCCGAAAACACCAAAATCGCTGATTTTCATTATTCGTTCAAGGTTTTTCGTTTTCTTACGTTTTCGAGGGCCCAACGCTGCAGCACTCCAGGAAAGGCCCAAGATGGGCCCAAGAGCGGGAGCAGGACGCCCCATGAATTTTCCGAGAAGCCTCCAGGACCCCCAGGATGTCCAGAAGGCCCCAGATCCCTGAGGGGCCCGGTTAAAAACCCGCGAGGCCCTAAAAACAGCGCCGAACAGCACCGAGAAACAAAACATTGGAATTGCAGAGATCCCCTTTCTTTTGAAGTTGGGACTCCTACTCCGAGAGAGCCCCAATAAGCAAAAATTGTCGATTTCCGATTGGAAAACTTATGTTTTTTGGCGTGTTCGCCTTGTGGGCTTCCACTGCGTCCAAGACGGCCCAAGAGACACCCAAGCCGGTCGAGGATGCCCCCAAGAGGGCCCCAAGACGGCCCACGAGGGGGCCAAGACGGCCCACGAGGCGCCTAAACCGCCCAAGAACGCCCCAAGGCGGCGCCCAAGACGAGGACGAGGAATCGGAAATTCGCGCCTTTTGGCCCAAGAGACCCCCAGGAGACCCCAAGAGACTCCAAGAAGCGCCCACTCCCCAAGAGGCCCCCATGAGACCAGAAAAAACACCAAACGAGGCCCCGAAGACGCCCCAAGAGGCACCCCAATAGAGCCCCCCCTGGCCCCAGGTGCCACACCTTCCCGAGAAATCTCGGGAACGTTCCCAGTATCGCTCCCCCGGGCTTCCCGGGGGGCCTCCACAGCGCTCCAAGAGAGCCCAAGACGCCTCCCAGGAGCCCCCAGAATGCGAAAGGATGATCCAAAACGCTCCCAAGCAGCCCAAGTCAGCCTTCCGACGGCTCTCGAGGCTCCCAGGTAACCTCCAAGAGACCCCAAGAGAGGTCCGAGAGGCGTCCCGGGACGGCCCGAAGAGGCCAAAATCGTAGATTGTCATTGGTTTTTTGTTCAATATTTTTAGCTTCTCGCGCTTTCGAGCTTCCAACAGGCTCCCAAGACCGCCCCAAGACCACCCAAGAGACCCTCAGGACGGCCCCAAGACGGGCCAAGAAGGCTCCAAGACTGCCGAAGAGGCGCCCAGGACAGCCCCAGATCACCCCAGAACAGGCCCAAGATGGGGCCAAGAGTGGGAGCAGGAGGCTTCCAGAGACCTCCGAAAGGCTTCCGGACCACCCAGAGGCCCCAACACAAACCCGATCCCTGAGAGGCCCCAGAAAGACCCCGACGAGGCTCCAAGAACAGCCCACGAGAGTTGCGAGAGCCGTCCCGAGAGAGCCCAAAGAGGGGAAAATCGTTGATGTCCCATGGTTTTTCTAATGTGTTTCGCCTTCTCACGTTTTCCCGCTTCCAACCTTCGAAGATCGAGGATTTTGAAAAAAAGGGAACTCCCAGAATCCCCCTTTTTTTGTCAAAGTGGGACTCCTACTCGGGGGTCCCACACATCCCCTGACATCTGGCCGGCACCGCGCCTCCCAGCTTCCCGGGGGGGAGACCCCGAATCGCCGAAGGACAGCCCAATATCACGACCCCAGGGAGCCCCCCGAACGTAGAGAACGGCGCAGCACGCTCCCGCGCAGCCCGCGGCACCCGTCCGACGGCTCTCGAGGCCTCCGGGAGGCCTCCTCCTCCTCCTCCTCCTCCTCCTCCTCCTCCTCCGGAACCCCCAGGGGGTCTGGAAGAACCCACACCCTTGAGGGGCCCGGCTAACAAAACCCGCGAGGCACAAACAAAAGACAGCGCCGAACAGCGCCGAGGAGTTGGAAAAACATGGAAATCCCACGATTCCCATTTTTTGTTCAAGGTTGGCCCCCTTGCACAACAGACCACAATTCAGACCCCCCTCACCTCCCAAAAAAGAACCCAGGAAGCCTTTGAGGGCCCCAAATCGCTGAACACCTAAAGGAAATCAATGATTTCTGCGTTTCCGCGTTCCCCCTTCTATACGATTCCGAGGCTTGCGCAGGGCCTCCAAGGGAGTCCCTGGACGCAAGAGTCGATCAAAATGAGATGGCACAAGTTAGCCTATCAGGCCTTGCTAGAATTTGAGCTCGCGCGGAGCGCGCGCGACGGGAGGAGGCCAGCGCTGCAGCGGGAGCACGATCTGGAACGAGCGGAAGCGCGGTAAGGAGGCCAGCGCTGCAGCTGGTGCGACAGTTGGAAGGACCGAAAATTGTCGGAAGGGGAAAACACACAGGGCATACCAGGTTTTGAAACCTTGCGTGTGTGAACACAGAACGCGGAGGGGGCGGGATACCTTTCGCACGCAGTCAGGGGAGAGAGGAGAGTAGTATTAATGTGGTGTAAGTGTGGAGGAGTCCTTCCCCCCTCCGTTTGGATCTCTCCCGCCCTGGTTGTGTCTCAATGTATCAAGTTCTATGCAAATGGAAGCAGGGGGACCAACACGTTCGCTCCGACTCCGATTCTTCCGCGGAGGAGGAAGGACGAGGGATATCTTCCCGACTGACAACGACGACGACGACCCTCTTGGGGACATTTTGGAAGCCTCCTGGGCCCTCTTGGGGCTCTCTTGGGGCCCTCTTGGCGCTCTCTTGGGGCTCTCTTGGGGCTTCGTGGCGGCGTTGGAGGCCCTCCTGGGGGAATCTTGGAGATCATCGATCAAAAGGGAGGGGAGCTGTTATTCCAGTCCCCTCGGGGCCATAAAATGCCTCTTGAGGCCCTCTTGGGGCGCTCTTTGGCCCTTCTTGGGCCTCTCTTGAGCCCCTTTTGGGCCGTTTTGAGCCGTCTTGTAGCCATATTGAGGCCCCAAAGGCCCACCGGAAGCGGAAAGGGGGAGAAGGCAAAACACATTGATTCCCACAGGTTTTGGAAGGATTTGGGCTTCTCGGGGGCCTCTTTGGGAGGCTCCTTGGCCATTTGAAGCCGTCCTGGGGCGGTGTTGGAGCCTCTTGGAGGCATGTTGTGAGCGATCATGGGCCATGTTGGGCTACCTTGAACGATCTCGGAGGCCATCTTGGGCTCTCCGAAGCCCTCTTGGAGCTACCTTGGGCCATCTTGGACGCTCCAACCCCTCGCGACAGGGCCCGTCTAGGTCCAGCGGAGGAGGAGGAGGAGGAGGAGGAGGAGGAGGTGTAGATCAAGTTAGGTGCGCTCGCGTCAACATCTGACATCCTACCCCTCCCTCCCATCCCTTACCATGGCGCTGATTTTCTCTATCCGCGGACGCGTGTCGTAGCAGACCTGTGGCTCCGCGCGCGTGTGCGTAGTGGGTGGTGGTGCGCGTGCGTGCGTGCGTGTGTGCGTGGTTGTGGTTGTTGTGGTGGTGGTGGTGGTGGTGGTGTGTATGTGTGTGTGCGTGTGTGCGCGTGTGCTGTGGTGTGACGTGTTGTGGCGTCTTAGTGGTTTGGTGGTGGGCCAGGTGCGTACGTGCGTGATGGCGGTGGTGGTGGTGGCGGTGGTGGTGTGTGTGTGTGTGCGTGTGTGTGTGTGTGTGTGTCTGTCTGTGTGTGTGTCTGTCTGTGTGTGTGTGCGGTGTGTGTGTGTGTGTGCGTGTGTATGTGTGTGTTTGCGTGCGTGCGTGTGTGTCTGTGTGTGCGCGCGTGTGATGTGGTGTGACGCGGTGTAGCATGGTGGTGGTGGGTGGGGTAGTGCGGTGGTGGTGGCGGTGCGCGGTGGTGGTGCGCGTGCGTGCGTGCGTGCGTTGGTGGGTGGAAGTGGCGGTGGGTGTGCGTGCGGCGGGGCGGGGCGTGGTGCGGCGCGGTGGTGGCGGGCGGATGGGCGCGCGAGAAAGAGGCCCGCGCTGGGGCGAGAACGCCATCCTGAACGACGGAGGCAAAACACCGATCCGAAAATGAGGCCCACGCTGCAGCGGGAGCACGATTCGGAACGATTCGGGAGCAGAAATGAGGCCGGCGCCTCAGCGAGAGCAGCATTTTGAAAAAAAACGCAGGCGAAAACCCAACTCCCGGGAATCCTGTGTGTAAAAAAACAGTACGCGGGGGGGGGGTCGAGTATTCCCAGGACGCCATCAGGGGAAGAGGGAGAGTAGTATTCATATTGAGTAATTGTGGAGGAGGACGAGGACGAGGAGGGGGGGGGGAGGGAGGGGAGGGGAGGGGAGGGAGGATAGGAGAGTAGTGGGGGGAGGGGGAGAAGCGGACGAGTGGCAGCAAGGGGGCAGGGGCAAACCTCTCCGCGAAAGGGAAGAAGGGGGTTGGAAGAGGAGGCCATCTGAACCAGCTGACGCCCTGGAGGGCTGGGTTGGATCTTTCCGCGATCGGAGGTCATTCCGACTCCGACGCCTGGCGCGGCGCGCGAAGGGATCCTAAAAGGGAGGAGGAGGAGGAGGAGGAGGAGGAGGAGGAGCAGGAGCAGGAGGAGGAGGAGAAGGAAGGAGGAGGAGGAGGAGGCGGGGGCGGGGAGGAGGAGGAGGAGGAGGAGGAGGCGGAGGAGGCGGAGGAGGAGGAGGAGGAGGAGGAGGAGGAAGAGGAGGAGGAGGAGGAGGAGGAGGAGGAGGAGTCTCGGGGTCCGACCCCCCTGGTTCTTCCAGCCGCCTGCGACCGAATTCTCGCACCGATCAGCATCGCCACCATTTTCACCAGCAGCGCCTCGAAGCTGCAAACGCCGTGCGAAGAGTGTTGGCGGTGGCTTCAGGCACTGCAGTTTACATAGGTCTGAGGCCATTGCAAGAGGCGTTGTCGTATCAGTGGGGCTGCCCGAAGGCAGCGTCACTATCGCCGACACCATCGCAGCGTTCGGTATCACGATCAGAGCCACGCGCCTGTCCAAGCGCAGTGCGACGGGGGTCTCGGCGAGCTGGAGCAGGTCAAGATGGCACGGCGTGCCTCCTTTGACGGGTTGCCGCCTCCCCATACACAGTCTCCGCAGTTCCTTGCGGGCGGGATTCGGAGGCGCGCGGAGCCCCCTGTGGTGGGCGGGGCACGCGCCGCCGAGTCCCGACGCCCGCGGCGTGGGCGGGGCTCGCCGCGCTGCTGCTGCTCTTCGGCTGCGCCCTGGGCGTGGCCACCCGCGGCTGCTGCGGGCCGAGGTTTCTCGCCGCCCGTCGCCTTCTGCAGGTGCTGAGTCTCTGAGTCGGTTTGCGTGGTTGGACTCCATCGCCGGTTTCTTTGGCCCAGCAGCCCCTCGGACTGACCAGAATCTAAGACTTCGCCTCGTAATCGAGAACGCCGGAGGCGCATCACCGGGCGCTCCCTGGGAGTTTGACGCATCTGGTCGGTAGTCTCTTGGAGGCAGTTTTGAAGCCTCTTTGGGAGCTCTTGGGCGCAGTTTTGGGGCCTCTCGGGGCTTCTGTTGGGACTTTCGGGAGCTTCTTGGAGGCCTGCTGGCGGTCTGGGAGGTTCCGTTTGGGCGGAAAGCTGGAAATGTAATTTAGTTCTGGCTCCAGGGCCCTCTTGGGGACATCATGGGCCGTCTTCGGCGCGTCTTGGGCCGTCTTGGGGCCGTCTTGGCAGTCTTGGGGCCCTCTTCGGGGTCTCTGGGGCGATCTTGGGGCGATCTTGGGGGGCTTGTAGGCTCGTCGTGGACGCACTGAGGTCCTACAAGTCGCACTCGCTCAAAATGCACGTTTTCCTTAGAGACTGGGACGTATTTTGCTTTGTGGGGCCGTTTTGGAAAGCCTCTGGATTCTGGCGTCTTCGGGGCCGTCTTGCGGCTATGTTAGCGTCTTGGAGCGATCTGTCGCTGACTCGGAGCTCTTTCGGACTGTCTTGGGGGCCGTCTGGGGGCTCTCTTGAGTCGTCTGTTGACGTCGGGGGGGGTTGGGGCGATCTTGGGCGCCTCTGGGGCCATCGTGGACGCTCAGACTCCCAAAAGTCGCACATGCTAGAAGTATACGTTTCCCCATAGGAATGGGACGATGTTTGCCTTTCGGGGCCTTCTTGGAAGGCCTCTTGGAGCTCTCTTGGGGCGTCTTGGGGGCCTCGTGCACCGTCTCAAGATCATTTTGGGCGTCTTGGGGCGGTCTGTCGGCGACGTGGAGCCTTATTGGACTCTGTTGGGGCCCCTCTAGGTTCTTCTTGGGGCCGTCTTCGGCAGTCTTGGACGCCTCTTGGGCCGTCTGTGGGTGCTTTTGGGCCGTCTTGGAGATCTATTTGGGGCTTCTGGGTCCATATTCGGGCGATCTTGGGCGCCTCTAGGGCCGTCGTGGACGCTCAGAATCCCAGACAAGTCGCACATGCTAGAAGTAGGCGTTTTCCCGTAGGAATGGGACGATGTTTGCCTTTCGGGGCCTTCTTGGAAGGCCTCTTGAAGCCCTCTTGGGGCGTCTTGGGGGCCACGTGGACCGTCTCAAGGCCATCCTGGGCGTCTTGGGGCGGGAGCCTTCTTGGACCCTTTTGGTGCCGTCTTGGGGCTCTTTGGGTTCGTCTTGGGGCCATTGGGATTTCTTGAAAGCTTCGACTTGGGAGGGGGTCTGCGAGGGACCGCCGGAGGAGGAGGAGGAGGAGGAGGAGGAGGAGCAGCTCCCGAGGGGTCTGCCCCGGGCCCCACCGCTGGGCGGCCTCCTCGGTGCAGCGGCGCGCCTCCGGCACCGGGAAGCGGTGGGAAGACCGGCCAGGTGAGCCGATTCGTTAGCCACCCCTCTTCAACTCCCTTCCCTGTCGTCCGACCTGGTTCTCCGTCGGGCGGAGGAGGGGAGGAGGAGGAGGAGGAGGAGGAGGAGGAGGAGGAGGAGGAGGAGGAGGAGGAGGAGCAGGAGGAGGAGGAGGAGGAGCAGGAGGAGGAGGAGGAGGAAGAGCTGGAGGAGCTGGAGGAGGAGGAGCTGGAGCAGGAGCAAGAGGAGGGAGGAGGAGGAGGAGGAGGAGGAGGAGGAGGAGGAGGCCCACAGGAGGGACCTCAGGGAGATTTTGACCAGACCCTGGCGAATCCTGCCAGGCACGCTGACAGAGTGGCCTCGCACGGCCCAACCCGCAGGGCGGGAGCGGCCCGATCGAGAACGCCGGCGGCGCATCGCTGGCCGCTCCCTGGGAGTTTGACGCAGCGTTTCGGGAGCCTCTTGGAGGCAGTTTTGAAGCCTCTTCGGCTCCTCTCAGGGGCCGTTAGGGGGCTTCTTCTGGGCCTCTGTTGGGCTTCTTGGGGGCTTCTTGGGGCCCATCAAGTGTTTCTTGGGAGCTTGCTGGCGGGGTCGGAGGTCTCGTTGTGGTGGCAAGCTCGAAGTGTCCTTTCGATTTCTGCCTCTTGGGGCTCTCTTGCGGCACTCTTGGGCCGTATTGGGCTTCTCTTGGGTCGTCTTGGGGTGCCCGTGGTCTGTATTTGGGCTCTCTGCGGGGCTTTTTGGGCCATCTTGGGGTGACCGCGGGGGCCTCTAGGGCCGTCATGGACGCTCTGAGGGCCACAAGTCTGACATGCTAAAATTGCACATTTCTTCAAAGGAGCGGGACGATTTGTGCGTGTTGGAGCTCTCTTTGTAGGGCTCTTGACGCCCTCTGAGGGTCTCTTGGGGGTCTCCTGGGGCCTCTTGGGGGGCTTCCTGGGAGCTCCGTGAGGCCTCCTGGGGGCCTCTTGGGGCTTCCTTGCGGTCCTTGGAGCGGAAGGCTCGAGCTTTCCGTTCGTAGCCCCCCTCCAGGCCCCCTCTTGGGCTCTTCTTCGGGCCCTCTTGGTCCGTCTTGGGCGCCTCTTGGGCCGTCTTGGGGCTCTCTTGGGATGTCTTGGGGCCCTCTTGGAGGCTTCTTGGGCTGTCTTGGGGGGGTCTTGGAGGTCTCTTGGGCCGTCTTGGAGCGTCGGAAAGCCTAAGAAGTGAAGTTGTGAAACACGTACGTTTCACGAAGGGAATGGGACAATTTTGGCGTCTGGGGACCTTCTTGGGACGCATCTTGGAGGCCTCTTGGGGCGTCTCAGAGGCGTCTTGGGACGTTTGGAGGCCATCTGGAGCGTCTTGGAACGATCTGGAGCCGTCTGGATGCTCTCTAGGGCCGTCGTGGGGCTCTCTTGGGCCGTCTTGGGGCCTCGTGGGTCGCTCCCGGGCGTTTGTAGGGTCGTCTTGGGGCCCTTAGGTCGTTGAGCCAGGGGGGGGTCTGTGAGGGACCGCCGACAGAGGTTGGGCCCCTGGGAGGGACTTCTGGAGGTCTTGACCAGAATCCTGCCAGGCAGGCCGCTCCCGCCCTGCGGGTTGGGCCGTGCGAGACCTCTCGGACAGAAGTGTTTGGCACAGTCTTCAGCCCCGCTCGCCAGCGCCTGGTCAAAAACCTCCCTGAAAGTCCCTCCGAGAGGGGCCCCACTCTGCCGCTGGCCTCCCCGTCCGGAGCAGCCCGGGGACGACCCAAGAGCGCCCCAAGCCGGTCCAAGAGAGCCCCAAGCAGTCCAAGAGAGCCTCCAGACGGCTCCAGATCGCTCCAAGACGCCCAAGATTTGCCTCCAAACGGCCCAAAACGCCTCCAAGACGGCCAAAGAGGCCTTCAAGAGCACCCCCAAAAGAGCCCCAAAAGACAAAAATCATCGATTTGTCAATGGTTTGGGAAGGATTTTCGCGTTCTCGCTATTTCGGCTTACCGACACTCCAAGACGGCCCAAGAGGCCCCCAAGATCGCCCCAGGGCGGCCCAACAAGCCCCCAAGAGGGCTCCAAGACAGCGCAAGAGGGCCCCAAGACGGCCCAAGAGGCCCCCGGATCAGCCCAAGAGGGGCCCCATGACGGCCCCAAGAGGGCGCCCAGAAGGGGAACCCGAATGAACATTTCGAGCTTTCGGTCCCAAGAGGCCCCCAGGAGACTCTAAGAGGCCCCCAGGAGGCCCCCAAGAGGCTCCCAGAGAGCCCCAAGAGGCCCCAAGAGAGTCCCAAGAGGCTCCCAAGAAGCCCCCAGGAGGCCCCCAAGAGGCCCCTAAACTCCCCCGCAGGGGCCCCCGAAAGCCCTCTTGAGAGACCCCAAGAAGCGTCCATGAGGACTCCGACCCAAAACCCAAGCACGGTGGCGGGATGGGCCGACGGCCATTTGATAGCTGGCATACGCGCCTCTTTGCCCGTCTTAGGGCGTTCCTGGCCCGTCTGACGCGGTCGGAAGCCGTTCTGTGGGCCTCTCGGGGCCGGCCTGGGGCCCTACCGGCCCCCTGAGAGGCAGCCGAAAGGCCCCCAGGCGCCCTGAGATAGCCCAACATTGCCCCGAGATGGATCCAGAAGCCCCCGCGACGCGCCGGGAAGGCCCCCAGAGGACTGCCAAGAATTCGTCCAGAGTGAAAAACATGCGGCTGCAACCTTCTGGTTTTACCAAGCTTTGGACCGCCAAGGTGGGCCCGGAAGCCTCCAGGATCGCCCCAAGTCCGCCCAGGAGATCTCGCAAGAGTGCGCACGACACCGCCACCTCCAATTACACAGTTAGTGTTCACGCACGCGCTGCACGGTGCCATCCTAAGCTTGCCTGTTCCTCTGCACTACATCGCTCTCGTTTCCCTCGTCGGTGGTGTTGTTGGCTTGCAGGGGGTTCCCAGGGTCATCCTAGTCTGCATGAAGAAATGCTCCCTGCCGCTTTCAAGGTGAATGAGTTTAACATGTTACTTGGCATCGCTGAATTCGAGGCTAAGCAGCGACCTGCTTTGCTGATTTCTTTAGGAGTTGGGGCTGGCGGAGAAGAACGAGTGGAGGGGTGGGAAGTGGCGGTCGGCTGCGTTGCGCCGTCGCTGCGTCGTGGAAACTCGACAGGCCTCAGCAGAGTTTCTGGTGTGGCCCGTGCGGAGCTGGGAGTGGGGCCCCAAGACAGCCCAAGAGCGCTCCAAAAGGGGCAGAGATGGCCCCAAGACGGTCCAAGGAGCCCCACAGACGGCCCAAGAGGCTCCCACACGAGGACTTCCAAGAGGGACGCCGGAGGCGAAAACCAGCGATTTCCCGATGATGTTTTGAGGCTTCGGGGGTTGTCGCTTTGTTCCGTCAATGCCCGATGTGTCGGACTCACTCTTCGAAATTGTATTTGCCGCAGTTGTCGAACTCGTAATGGTCGCCATGCCTGCCGCGTTGGTGCTCGTCGTAGTCGCTTCCCGCAGCGGCGTTATGTCGGCGGCACCGGAGTCGTTCAGCGTAGGTGTCTTGCAGAAACATTTGCTGCAGGGGGGACGGAGACGCCGCAGCGTCCAAGATGGCCCAGGATGGCTCCAAGAGGCGCTCGAAGTCGCAAGATGGCCTCCAAGATGGCCCAAGGTACTCCAAGATGGGTCAAGATAGCCTCCGACATACCTCCAAGAGGCCCCAAGACGGATCCAAATGCCCTTCGAGCCCTCCACAGCGCCCTCCAACACCCTAATAAAACCCTTCAAAAGCCTAGGGGAAATCAATGTTTTTGGCATTCTCGCCTTTTCGCGTCCGATGGGCCTTTGGGACCTCAAGATGGCCCAAGAGGGGTCCAAGAAGGCCCAAGACGGCTCCAAGATCGCCCAAGAGCGCCCCAAGAGAGCCCCAAGACGCCATTTTTGAGCCTCCGAGGGGGCGGTACTAATTAAGGAACCTCTTCTTTTTGAGGTATGGAGCCCAAGCTGGCCCCTAGAGACCCTCCACACCGCCCTTTTTGGCCCAAGATGGCTCCAAGAGAGCCCCAGATAGCCTAAGATGGCCTTCAAAATGGCCTAAGATAGCCAATCATGGCTCAAGATAGCCTCCGACAACCCTCCAAGAGGCCTCAAGGCAGCCTCAAGATGGCCCAAGATAGCCGAGCATGGCTCAAGATAGCTTCAGGCAGATCGAGCGCCGGCGGCCGTTTTGAGTATGAGTGGAGCTTATTGTGGGATTTCCATTGTTTATTGTTATTTTCCTTTCCTTCCTCTTGCTGCTGTCGCTTGGACAGCACGATGCGCGCTGCGCATGGTGCCTCCGCGTTGGATTTTGGCCTCTTTGCTCCCTTCTCTCTCCTCCTTCTCCTCGTCATCGTCGCCATCGGCGTCGTCTGCTTCTTCTCCTTTCCTCTCCCTCCCCCTCCTCTACCTTTCCCCTCTTTCCCTCGGTGCCTTGAGACCCCTGCTTTTGTCTGGCTCGTCGGCGTGGTCCTCAGATGAGCTTCGTTTTTCGGTAATTATTTTGTCTGTCTTGCGCGTTTTCAAAAATTGATTGCTTCAACATTTGTGAGAGAACATTGCTGTTCAATGATCGGATAGGAGGGGGAAAAATCCAGATAACACATCAACATATCCATTGATTGTTGTGCCCTTGGTTTGTCAGCCAAATATTATCACATTCCAAGTTGCATGAATGATGCTGTGCCTCGGGGGCGCTGTTGGTAAGAATGGAGCCGTGCACTACTTAGGCTTTTCGCCCACTTGTTTTGATCAATTTGTCGCGCGTGTTTCTAACATGTCCGTGATTGTTTGTTTTGTTTTTTGTTCCGATGTGTTTTGAAGATTTTCTCATTGGTGGATCGAGCTATTTTTATGTTGAGTCGTTTCTAATAGTTCATTATTGTTTTCGACATCGGTTGGCCTCCAAATTTGAGATCTACCCAGTCCACGTTCAAGAGCTTCTTTTTGAATTCCGATTGCGTCAATATATAACGCGATCTTAATAATAAGGATAAAAGATTTTTCCTTCGGCGAAATCATTAATTTGAAGTCTGTTTCCCACACGCTTTTTGGAAAATTGGCACGAAATATAAGCGCTTGCTGGAACTTTGCTATAAATTATTCTTATTTGTTTTGCAGACCCGGGGGGTCCCTGGAAGAAAAATACTCCAGGCAAGTCCCTGCACATCCTTGTCAAAATCGGGCGAGAACAGACACGGGCAGAAAAGCGTTCCAACGTTTGCTCGTGATTCTCTGACTCGCTCAAAGCCAAGTGCCCATCCCGGAAACCGATTGGGGTACGGCGGCTGCGAAACCCTAAGGGTGTGGCCACGCAGGGAAAAAGGAAGAAGAGGAGCAAGGGGAGGAGGAGAGGGAGGGCCCCGCGGCCCCATTCAGCCTCAGATTACCTGCAGCTCGTCCAGGGGGGGGACGGGCTCCCGCAGCGTCGTGGGTAGGTCGGAATGCCGCTGCAAGATCATGTCGGCTGCCGCTTTTTGTACGGCAATTCCCAGGATACCCCACCAACGGTGTAAGAGGCTGAGTGTAGTGCCTTGCCGTATGCGTATGTTCAGTTCCCGGCATCTTTTTCTGGCCAGGGCCGGGACCAAGAGTGTATTTTGCCGCCCCCATCTCCCGAATATTTCTACCCCCAGGCATTGGTAGGTATTGTCGTTGTAGCTATGGTAGGTATTGTCGTTGTCCCTTTCCGCGTTTCGTAGCGCTGTCCCTCCCCTGTTGCTAGTCCCGGGTCGTGGGTTCCCATCCCCCCTGATAGGGCAGACGACCGTGATATCGCAAAATAGTGGTAGTCCATTCGCTACGTTCAGACCAGGGACAAAAAGATCCAGCCTTCGTGTGTCCCCTGCAGGAACTGGTATGTGTGTATCCCTGTTGAGGCGTTCGACGTTTCTGTCTGGGATAGGTCCCCCCGCTTCTGTCAGCACTTGTCGCCAAGCCACCAGCACAGTAGTATGTCTTGAATTGAGCCGGCCCTGTTGATTAGTAGTCATGAGGGAATGGCCATGCGAGTCACCTCCATCAAACAATACCCCGATACCCAGCCGCCAGCGTATTGCACAAGCCATCTGTGTGTTTTTCAGCGTGAGGGATGCCGTTGTAGGGCAGATAGTAAGCAATGTAGCGGCATAAGCCCCCATACATGAGCGTAATCGTGCTTTGCCTGTCGTAGCGGCGTTCACCCGGGCTCCTGGTCCTCCCCCAAGCGTCTGCACAAGGTTTTGGAATGCTGTTCTTTCTGAGTTGTCGGACGCATGGAATTGCCACCCGTGCGTGCACTCTCCGAGGGCGAGCGGGTCGTCTGGTGGGAGCGGCGGCCGTTCCCCTGCTGCCAGAGAGTCCCATTCTGGGCGATCCCGCCACCCGTTGTCGTCGCACACACGTCCAGCAATTTCAGCTGCAACCAAGCATTCCGGAAGGTTCCCGTCGTCGTCGCGGCTCCCCGCTACCGCATTCAAGTGGTAAAGTATATCCCGTCCTATGGTAGGGAAGCCTTGGACGAGGTTTGGTAGAGTGTCCGCCCGACTCGCCCAGTACGCTGCTGGCGCGAGCCGCGTCGAGTCCCTGAGTCCAAGTCCTCCGAGACGGAAGGGCAGCCGGGCTTAGGCGACCCAAGTGTCGCATGTTAGCCCGTGGAGTCCATAGGCCCATCCATCTGGGCCCGCGATGCCGAATATCTTCCTGAAGGTGTCGAGGACGTTGTTGTCGTGCGCTTGGGTTGCTGCCCGAGCGTGGTGCGGCGGGGTTGTGCGCAGCAGGTGGTTGAGGCGTGGGACGGCACAGAAGTAAAGCAGGAGCCACGCGGCTTGCAAAGAAGGGAGTTGCGGTAAGATGTTAAGTAGTTTCGCTTTCTCCTCTGCTTGTGTGGTGCCGCATGCTGTGATGTACTCGTCCGTGCCGAAAGGCGCCCCCAGGATCCGCAATCCTCGTTCTTCCATCAGTTTGTCGTGGACCCATGCGTGTGGGGCCACTGCGCTTAGTCCTGGCGGGCTGTCGTTGTGGTTCTTACTCCATGCCGCTAGTTTGCCGATATTAATATCAATATGGCATACGTCTTCCAACGTAGTCTTGGTGGCGTCATAGATGAACGTTCAGTCGGGCGGGTGACAGATGATCTAGATGTCGTCGAGATATGCCAGGATTTCTGCTCCTGGCGGGAGCGCAGCCCGCAGTCGCTCCCAAGCGGGCGTCAATGCCAAACAAAAAAGTGTTGGCATAAGTGCGTCCCCCTGTTCTCCCCCATCTCCCTGGTGTCTTGTTCGAACTCGTCCTTCGCCATCTCTCCCATTTTAGTTGTGATTGCACACCGTACCACATACGCACGAACGGGATAAGGCCGTGGAGCGCCCTGTCCGCCAACAATTGCTCGAACATTCGTGCTCGAGAAACGTGGTCGAAAGCCCCCACCCCATCGATGCTCACGACGATTTTGTCGGGGTCGTTGTCGGTGAGATACCGAAAAAGATGGATTGCTGCATCCGTGCCGCACCTGTCGTGAATCCCGAAGTTGTGCGGCCACACTGCGTTCCGTAGTTGATCTTGGTATTGTTTCGCCAGTGTTTTGGCCACCAGGCGCCTGAGTGTATCTCCACTGGGGATGCCACGGACCCGGGAATTCGGTTTAAGGACGGCCGTGAGCGAAGATACCAAGAGAGCGTCCCAGATGGGGTGGGGGATGTGTGCTGAAGCGAGACGTCGAGCTACGTCAAATAATGCATCGAACGAGGTATCATCTTCCATGCATGCTTTGAAGTACTCGTACCTGTATCCCCACAGTCCTCCGCTGAGCCCCCGCCGTGATTGTCGTATGACTGTCGCGAATACGCCTTTGTTCAGTTCGGCTGGATGCTGTGGTACAAAATCTGCGACTTCTTCCGGGATGGGTTCAGCAGGGTCGAGAGGTCGGAGTTGTGGGTTCGTTAGTTCGTTGTACGTTGCATCCGTTCCTGGGGCAAGCCCTCGGGAGGTGAGGTGTCTCGCTGCGTGGCTGAGTTCCCCTTGCTTGATTAAAGTCATTGCTTTCTCAATTTGCTGTTTCGTGTCATCGGCTGGTGTGCTTTGTGCATGCTTCCCCGCAGTGGTACGTCGGGCTCGGTCCAGTAGTTGACACCATTCCCCAGATTCGAAGAGCGCAATCCGTTTCCGTAGATCTCTCTCTCTCTCTCTCTCCTGTTTGTCCACCGTATCATTGCCGGATCCGTCTTCTTCCCCATCGATATCCAAGAAGTCTCGTTGTGGTGGGGCGAGGTCGGGGCGGATCGCGGATAAGGGGGGTTGTCTGATCGCCAGGTCGGGGGGGTCCAGGTGGAGGGGTAAGGGGCGGGAGGTCAGCGCATCCGCCGCCGTCGTCGAAGAGATCGTCGGAAAGG